CATCAAGACAACTGCTCAATGGCCACTAACAGAAGACAGAGTTCCCTCTTAGCTCTGTACGATAAACTATGCCTACTGGTCTGTAAGATGAGAATACAGACGCTGAGGTGACAGATCAAACCCACGGGTCTGATCACATTTCTGCTCCCGGAGTGGGGTGGGCAGAAAGATCAGTGAAGTCTCACAGCTGATTTGAGAAAGTCCAGCCTTTAACAGCAGGCAGAGCTGTGAAGACTCAATCCCACTTACACCATGAAGTCCTCCAAAGCACAGAACCTGGTGAAACCAGGCAGCTCAAGCTCTGAATGCTAAATGAAACCCTTTCCATCCTGTAAGACTCTTCTCTCCAGATTCGAAGCGCAAAGACAAGGAAGGGCTACAGACTGGCAACAGTGTAGAAAACGCCAGGCCTTCCACGAGTGAAGCAGCCTACTCAGAGTTTCAAATACTTCAGTCACGGAAAAGCAATAGAGTGAGACTTCCTAGAAAGCTGAGCACCAGGCAGGGAGGAAAACTAGCAAAGGACAAGCACAGGAAATGTCCCAAGTCCCATATTTCAGCATTGAGATTTTTTTTTCTTTGAATAGGAGAACTCAGAAAGTAAGCGCAAGAAACTCATTAATGAAGTAACACCATTTTCCAGAGCTGGCCATAACTGGCCAAATTCTAAATGGTCACTGTGTCCAGAACCAAGAGCCACACTGAAGACAAAGTTTTAGAACACCACAGACGAAGGGGAGAAAGGCAGATTGCATTTTCGCTGGCTTTCCGACAGTAATGCAGAGAGCAAGATGACAGAGTGATGCCTTCAAACTCGTGAAGGGAAGAATTCGGCTACTTAGAACCCTGTATTCATCAGGCCACCCACCCAGACTGTAAAATATTAATTTCAGACATATACATTGTGAAAATGTTTCCTTCCTGTCTTTTCTCAAGAAATTACTAAAATATACCATTCCAGCAAAGTATGAAACTGGAGGAGAAAAGGTTAGAGAATAATAATCGGAACGCAAGAAAAAGAGGACCCAGGAAGAGAAAGGCCAATGCTCAGATACAACAGACCCACATGACCGAGAGAGTCACAGTGAAGTTGTCCACACCACAGTTCCCACTACTTCTCTAAGTGCAGGCTGCCTGCCACTTTGGTCCAGGTACTTTCTGTATTCCTTAGACTTTTCCAAGCCGTCCACGCCTTAAAGTCACACACACACACACACACACCACACACACACACACACACACACACACACACCCCTAAGTCCTGTGCTTTTAATTTACCCAAGGAGATGACAGGGAAGCGAGTTTAGGCACAGAAAACAGTGAGCCCCACACATCTAGGGCTGGCCTTACACAGCAGACATATCAGGTGCTATGACTGCTGAGTTTGATCTCCAGAACTCACTGTGACCTGACCCACTCATTGTCTTCCCCAAGCAGGCTTTCAAAACTTACTGGAGAAGCTAACACTAAACCATACCCCAGGGACTCACTCTAGTTGATCTAGTTGAGCACTGCTCTCCTGCCACTGTTGGGCCTGCTGTTATTCAGCTTTTAAGAACTAATCAGTTTGTTGTCTAGGGCTCTAACAGTTGGCAGAAGGGAAGAAAGGGAAGTCTGACAGAGAAATGAAGGTAATGACTGATAGTGTCTGGGTTGTGACTAAAGGCCCAGCAGCGGGACAGATAAAGGTGCCCAAAGTGCTACAGTCTTGTAGGCTGATTTTAACTTGTGGTAGGCGCACAGGTCACTGCTATCTTTTGATACCCCTTTGCAGAGTAGGTATGGTCCATTAAACACACAATTACAGCAGGGGAGAATTTCCCTTTCACAGAAAAAGCGCATTTTTACTGCTTTACTGATTGCAGGATTCCCCCACTAGCTTCCTGGAAAGGCCCGTGCTTCCTCAGTGTTACACCAAGAAGGTTCTGGAAGCCAAAGCAAAGGTCACAGGACAAAGGTCTTTCACATCACTACAACATTTTGGTTATTTTACAAAACTTGTTTTTCCTATTCTCTTTCGGCCTGTACTTGCGGTGATATTTGGGAATATATTGTTTACTATCTACAATACTGTTTTTTTTTTTTTACTTTGTTATTTCTTTTGACAGGGTCTCACTCCATATCCCAGGCTGGCCTGGAACTCATGGCAATCCTGTGTCAGGCTCCTGAGTGCTGAGGTTATAGGTGTGAATGCATTAAACAAAACAAATAAAAAAACCTGCTTTCTTCAAATGAAGTAAAAGTGAAGATAAGTAGATTAAGAAAAAAACAAATCAATCACAAAGGACATCAAACACACCTTCAACCTACTCTCTTTGTCCTCTACAAGATTCCCTTTGGGGGGTACAGTCTAAAAAAAGACAAACTGTTCGGACTCCCTGGGTTCTGGGAGGAAACACTGCATCCCATCTCCCCTCCTATAGTGGGCGTCTCTCTCCATCGCCGGCACTCCCGACTGCCCACTCCAGGCTTCTGTATCTCTTTGGTGTAATTGGTAAGAGGATGCTATCGACACCTGATGCTCCTGCCAGGTCTCCCTAGAGATGATCCCATCCTGTCTTGGCAAGCAGCCTCTCAGCTGGGATGGCCTGCTCTGCACCTCTAGCAGCCTGGTAGAGGTCTCGGCTAATGACAGCCACTGGAAGAGGAACTGCTGCCAGCAAGAAGACTGATGATCCTTAAAACTAGCAGTAACTGACAAAAAGAACGGTTGTTTCCTACTTCCTTCAGAACCATCCTCAGCAGTTGAAGATGTAAAATTAGATGGACACTCAAAATGGTACTGCATTATAAAATATTTCAAATCACAAGGAACAAACTGGAAAAACAAAACCAAGAATCACCCAGTAGTCACCATCAAGTTTTCTGTTTTATTTAAGATTTTAGTTTTAATTCTGAAGAAAGAGGTACATTTCCTTGTTTTTAGTTTTAGCATCAGGTTATAACCAGGTTTGTTTTCTTTTCTCCTGTCTTTTCAATACTGCACAAACGTCCAGAAACTACAGGGTTAAGTAAAAGCTGCAGGCAAAGAGGTCAGAGATTTGCTCCTGTTGGTGATCAGATGGCCCCAGAGTGCTGGCTCAGAGTGCCTTGCCAGGTGGACTTATGGTCAAAGAAAAAAAGATTCTGACAGAGGAGAAAGACTGAGGAAATCATTTATAATTCAGCTCTTATATTATGGATAGGTATTAAATCTGTGAATACTTTTTTTTCCTTTAAAACATCTGAATTTAAATCTAAAGCCAAAAATTTTTTTCTTTAAAAAATTTACTTCTCCCTCTTTATAAACTCTTTAGCAGTAGGCCAGATCCTACAGATAATTCATCTTGCCATCCACTACCAATAAAGTTCCCTTTGCTTAATGACACAATTGAGTCCTCCCCATCAATTCAATAAGAATTTAAAATGAAAAGCATTTTTCCTGCAATAGTGAAAAGCTGAATACAAGATGGATTCCAGGACCACTGCTTTCCCCCCATGCATTTAGCAATCTCATTCCAATCAGCCTGGTTTTCAGTCTGCAGTTGATTTACTTGACCTTTCCTAGAGATTAATCGTCATTTCCTGCTAAGCAGACTATGTCATTATTATGAGCGACAGACACACAGTAATTTTCTAAGTATTGAGACTGTCTTTTGATTTTCTTTTTCCTCTGCTTAAAAAGGCATTTCCTCCCCAGAACCATTCAACAGTGTCACTCACTCAAATGCTGGATCAACTGAAACTTTTACAATCAAACAAAAGATGGTAAAGACGCTGTGAGCGCATCACATCTGGGGTAGGGAGAAAAAAATGACCAGGAACTGGATTCTTCAGAACGTAAGAGATGAGAAGGGAGCTGTGAGTGGGCCGAGAGGGAGAGATAGGGTGGACGGATCCTGCCCTTCTCAACTCCCTCTCTGCTTAGTGGCGGTCCAGTGTTGAACTCTGTAGCAGATCTGTAGGGGTTTTGCTGGGGGGTCTGAAAGCTGTCTGGAAGCCTGGGGGTGGGGAGTGGAAGCTGGAAGGATTTGAAGGAGGTGGGTAAGGATTCCAACTGGCTCTGTGCAGAGGGATCTGTGTGCTGAAGGGGGCGCTGTGGTGAGTCTGTGACGGGGCAGCGCTGGGGCCGTCCATCTCTGTGAGGGCCTGAAGGGATTTTAGCCAGTGTGGAGGATTGTCATCTTGAATAGAGTCTAAACTGTTTCCTGAAGATGCTGGAATACCTACAGAGGAAACAGGAGACAAAAAGAAAACGGTGAGTTTGTAAGGAAAGAGCACCAAGGTACTCAGTTAAATTTTAAAGAGTGATTTATTTACCCAAGAAATAAAAGAATTACAATTTTAAATTTCCAACTGAAACTTAAAAAAAAAAATGTTCTTTTAACCACCCTCTTCCTTTTCCAGCAATGACCAAGATTTACTGTGGCATGAACACTCCTCTTCAACTATGAGCTTACTCCCTCACTTTCAGAGGCGGAACAGCGGAAAAACAAAACCAAAAATCCCCCAACAGCCTCCCCCCAAAGAAGCCCAGGATCCCCAGAAGCAAATGGCGTATTTCCCTATCGCACTTGCCCTTCTCAACAGGGATCTGAACAAGGACAGCCTTATATAGGGAGCTTTATAAAGAGTGGAGTATGTTTCTCTTAACATGGCTCAGTTAGACCCTTTTGTATTTTGAGGCCTACAAAATACACGCATGCTGCCAGACTAGTAACACCTTACACCAAAGGGAGCAACCGAGGCACACAACTAGGCTGACTGGTTCACCATGACCCTAAGAATGAATCAGGCTTTGTGAAAGGAACTCATGACTCATGTCGGAAAGACCCTTGCTCTGATTTAATTTGTGCAAAACCAAAAAGCCCCCACTGATGGCTGTGGGTGGAGCTGAAGGGAGCGAGAAAGTTACCTGTGATGATGGCTGGGTCTGTCCAGCTGCCAGGGCTGTCCCAACTCACGCTGTCGGAGGTGGCAGTGTTGGACGTTGGTGCACTGTGGTTGGCGTTGGAGGGGGAGGAAGAATTGGGCAGTCCACCAAAGTTGATGTTAATGTTGGGTAGAAGTGCCCTTAGCCCGTCCTGCCATTCCTTCATATTTAAACTCTCTACAGAACTGTTGTTGTCTGGGAGATTTACCAACAAAAAAATGAAAGATAAAAAAAATAAAAAGCTGACGTTAGAAACATATGCTGTTCTTTGGTGGTTAAGCGGAGAGGAATTACTCTTTCTTTACTGAGCGTTAATGGGTCGTCCTACAAACTGGGTTAGGGTTTTGCTTGTGAGCTCAGGGCCTTCAAGTTAGGGACAGGAAGCTTTCTCAGGCTGATGGGAGGGGCCTCCTGACTACAACAAGGGTACAAATCAGTAATCCAGCTGCAGGACTCAGTGCTCCAGTGACAAGCCAGCACCAGCTACATGATAAAGTTTCATGATGTGAGGCTATTTAGCCAGCTCAGTTGATGTACACTATTAGAAAAAAATTTCTGTCAGTTCACTATAGGAGCTCATTTCTGGGTCCATTAAAAGGAAGAAAGTCATTTTATGGAGAATAAACATAAGCCAAAAGTAAAAGAAAGCCAAGTTCTCCTGATTATAAACTTGGTATTGCACTGAAGGGGCACGATCAGATAATCAGATAATCAGCAACTTCTGAATCTGGAAAGGACATTTTCCCCGAAGAGCAGCAAGCGGGGGCTGGGCACCTCTTGGTGGAGCTGGTCCCCGGCGTCTCTCAGCTCTGCTCTACACTCCTCTCCAGCTCCACAGAGTTTAAGCCTACAGTTTTCAAAGTCTTTTGTGGATATTGTCAAATAGAAGTCGCTACCGATTTAAAATGGGTTTGTATCAACTGTGGTTTAAACTGGGGTTTACTATTGTGCAGAACCCATATGTAATACTTGGGGCTGGGAAGGTAAAGTCTAACTACTCCTTAGAATAACTGTTTTATTGAAAAGAAAAATGAATCAAATGACCAACTATAGCTTTTGAAAAGCAAAAACATCTCCATCTACAGAACTGATCAGCAATCAACATGGAGGATAGTATCAACAGTGACAGTGATTGATCAGGCAGTCTATGCTCTTTGATAAATTCAGAATTTTCTCTTCAAATTTTGCTTCACCCCGTCACTGACCTATGGTCAGATTTTACTAGGTTTCAGCAAATGTAGCATCTCACGGTACTATCATTTATAGAAGACAAACACAACTAACGGCAATAAAGCTCATCTCTGAACCTGACTGAAATGAAGAACACTCCACACTAGGTAAACAAAACAATGGGGGCAGGGGCGGTGTCCGCAAACTTAACTTTACTTCACAACTGGTGTTATTTCCTAAGCCTCATCCTTCTCACACCTGCATGTTATTTTCTTTTGCATTGTGTCATACAATTACAAAGCACCGTACATTTGATCGTCACAACTCTGTGAGGTAAATAGGTAAAACACAGACAGGGACATTTTCTACTATTAGTCTTAGCAGTGCATGTTTGAATCCTAGCTAGTAATACCCAAGGTGAATGGGGTAGGGGAACCATGGCAACATGGAAAGATTGCCCCAAAAGAGAATAAAGTTGCCCTCATTTATAAAACTCATTTTTGGTAACCTGAGACCAGACAGAGGGATATATTTGAAAAAAAAATTATTATCAAGATCTCTCTTGGTCTACTTTGTGTAGAATATTAATTGAATTTTTTTAAAGAGTCAAACACTTAAGGGTCCTACAAAGTCCACAATTAAAAAGAAACAAAGAAAACAGGGGTATCACTAGCCTGTCTATCAGGGATGGCAGGCAGGACACAGAAATAACACACCTCAAAGAACAGGCTGGACTTTGTAGCCAAGAGACCACCCCCACCCTGTGTTGTGTTACTGGAGGCTAAATTCAGAACTGTTTGTGAGCTAGGAAAGCACTCTATCACTGAGCTACACCCCCAAGCCCCAAGAACCAGCCTCCCTCCTTGAGACAAGGTCTTATGCATCTTAGGCTGGCCTTGAACTTCCTATATAAGTAAAGATGACTGATCCTCTTGCCTCTGCCTCTGGAGTACTGAAAGTACAAGTGCATTCCAGGTTGACATGATGCTGGGACTCACCCAGGGCTTCCTGCATTCTAGGTAAGCGCTCTATCAACTATACTAAATACCCCCAGGACCTACTAATCCCTAGCATGAAAACATTCTAACTGAAAATATAATCATCAGTGTTTCCCTCTAGGTCCATAACTTGCACTACACATAAACAAGATTTCCCTGAAAAAAAAAAAAAAAAAACTGAAATCATAGGATGTGTTCAGTTACAGGAAGGTTTGGTGGGTAAGACACAGTATGGCTTCTAAAGCAGTGAAACTGAGGGGAGAATAAACTTAGAAAGCTGTTCTGTGGAGCAAAGCTGAACTCCGAGAAACAAAACCTTCAATGCCTTGGTAGGAAAAAGATGCTGAGTAACTATGGGAAGGACTACAGGACGGTAATTCCTCCTGGCTGGTCTGGCTGGTCCAGGTCAACGACTGGCTTCTCTCTTCCTTACCTCACTCATAATATTTCCTTAACTGTTACTTTATATTTGCCAAAAGCAAAACAAAAGAACACTTACCTCCACTTACTGAGTACCACACTTAGGAAAAACTTACTATGAGGCTAGTAACAATGCTGTCAAAGAGCCCTGCACCCTACATCTCAGCTTTGCCGCCAACCAATAACTATTTTTTTTAAATAAATAAAAAAAAAACACTTTTTCTTTCTTTCTAATCAAAGGCTATTTGTTCCCCTGATTGCAAAATAATACAACCCTGCTATAGTGTTACTCAAAGGCAGTCATCTCTGGTACACGGCACACAAACAACGGGAAACTATAAAGTCAGGATAGTTTGAATATAAGAGAACTTGGGAAATAATCTTTACTGAAAAACATCAAACAACATTCCTTCCTCTCCCCCCACCCCTCAAAACAAAGCAGGTGCCTAAACATTCTGGAAGCTTCAGAGCATACATAATGTGTGGCTGACAGTGAAGACGTGTAGGGAGGAGCACTACACCAGACAAGACCCACAGCCTTAGCTTGTGGAATGGAAACATATTCTATAGAGCTTAGGAGAAATGTTTACTTCAACACCTTCTCTACTGCTGAGTGTTTGTGCAGACAAAGGCAACCAACCTCATCAACACAGTTCCATATACCCTACCTCATAGCTTGACCTGGATTCCTTTTGACAGTAGACCTCTAGTAAGTCCATCCCTGGAAACACAGCCAAGTTTGTTTCTATAGTAAGTGCTGTCACTGAGCCGCACCCTGGCTTGGCAGCTATAGGCATTGCACTACAATCCTCGTGTGGCTAGCTGTCCTACACACTGTGGGATGCTTACCAGCACCACACCCTCCAGATGCTAGCTGTGACAATCCAATGTGTCTGCAAATACTCTAAGTATCATGGGAGGGAGGTGTGGCAAAGTCTCCCATTAGGACCATGGACAAAGAAACGGGACTCCTTTGCTTTTAAGGCTACATTCCCTCTCCAAACAGTATCAGCACTTGGACACTGACTCAATAGGGTGTAACTTAATTTTCTTTTAAGGATTCACACAAAACATGGGGCTGAACACTGTCACTGGGCTGCAGAAGGCAGCTCTAGGGCTGCCTGTCAATATCACCTGGAACATGTGGCATACTTAGTCACTTAGCTGAACTCTACTGCCTTACCCCTATGCGGATAGAATAGGGAAGTCATCAGAAGCACATTCATTTTTAATAAATGACTAACAAATGTTTCTCTATTGGTCACCAGTAAACTTCCTAATGAGGCAAGGCAGCAGATGTCTAACTTGCCAAAACTGGGCAAGTATACAGGTCTCTTAGGAACCTAGCCATAACAGTCACTGTGCTCACAGAGGTGCTGTGTGGCCAACCTGATTAGCATGTCTGCCCACGGCCAAAACATTGCAAAGGTGAGAAGAACATGGAAAGGAATCACACAAGCAGAACTTGAAAAGACCAAGCAAGGTACAAAGAAGACCAAGTCACTATGGTAAAAATGATACTGACTTTTTTAAAAGTATGTAATTAGTACTGGCAGGGCTATCTGTAAACACACAGGCCTTATCAACTAAGACAGTTTGACACAATTAAATTCACAGATACGCCAAGTCCTCCAGCTCTTTTACACTTGGGTAGGATCAGCTGGTTCACAAATTTGGCCCTAATTCTTAGTTTTCATCTACCAGACTGCAGTACTGGGACCAGAGAACTCATGTTTCAAGTTAAATTATTCTGAAAGAGTGGACTGACACCCTGTGTGAGTCCCAGTTAGAAAGCGGTCCTAAAATTCATCTTATATTTCAGCCTTCAAGTTCTTTCTCACGGTTACTCCAAAAAGCCCCCAAATATGTACACTTTTCTTTCCCGCTGCGCTCATCATGCACAACCCAAGGCTCCTACACCGTGCACTTCGTCAGGACACAGGATACAGCCCCACACGGCCCCATGCGTCTCCGCACTGCTGCTCCCGTCACACCGCCTCTCTAGTCTGGGCTTGACGTCCATCCCCATCAGCATTTACTGGGGGAAAGCCCAACTCCCTCAAACTTCAACAGCCCATCTTCACGTGATTCAAATAGAAATGAACTATGCCAAACCAAACTTTAAGGAACAAAGTTATCATATTAGAGGTTTTATATAAAAATATTCTTTAGAATTGCTGCAAAAATCACTGTAATTTATTAATACGGAACTACAGCTGTCTTTCAGACATAAACACAATCAGTTTTTGAAAAATATTCCACTTAAATGATAGAGTTTATACTCAAATTTCTAGGACTATGTTTATTATAAAGCAAGACCCACCGAATGGCAGAGCCGAGTTGCTTGGGCACAGACAAAAGGGTTTCACCACAGTCCTGAAAGTAGATTTAGATTAAAAAAAAAAAAAATCTAAGAATGCAAATGACAAGAGTTCTAAAGAGGAAATGTCAGGTGCCTTAACAAAATATTTAGAAGTTAAAATTTGCTTACACCAACATAAAGAAGCAGAAACGACATAAGCGGAAAAACGTGGGGTCAGCTAGATAAGCGTTCTGCTTAGTAAACGGTAGTTCCTGTCAGTCTGCTTCACTGGAATGCTTTCTGGG